TAAAACTTGCATGCCCTGTTGTGTTCATTAGTGTTTAACTTAACATCTTTTTTTTTCTCTGCAACTTGCAGTGTTTCTGTATTTGCTTGTGTTGTATTAGTGCTTTAAGCTATTTGTCAGTGGATTACCAACTTACAGACATATAAATACCTACAAAAATGACCTCTGTCCATCCTTCCCCTTTTCAGCTTGAGAAACTCTCATCCAGGCATTCATCATGTCCAGACTCGACTAATGCAACAGTCTTCATTACAGGACATCATTTAAAATACTCAAGAAACTTCAATACATCCAGAATTCTGCTGCCCGCCTGCTTACCCACTCACACACTTGTCACCACCCCATCCCCTAAATGTAGATGGTTAGGTTCCACCGCTAATACCACTAACCACTACCACATACGAGGGTACTTCTGCTGTAGCTCCAGGACAATGTGTTCATCCACGCAGCACAGGTAGCAGAAGCAGCCAAATGTGGCTTTGAACAAAGGCACTATGAACCTTACTCAGCCGACCTGGCATTGTCAGACTTCTGTTTCTCAAACTGAAATCCCACTTGTGTGGTCGCCATTTTCAGAGTGATGATGTCATCCATGAGGAGTATCTGGAGGCTCAAAGTGTGACCTTGCAAACCCTCCTGGAAGGGATAGTGAAGCGTAAACATCAGTGGAGCAACTTCATTGACCGAATTGGAAACTATGTTGAAATTGATCTCCTGTGTTTTCTGGTGATGTCAAGAACTGTTTGAAGAACCCAAGTACTGTTCGTGTCAGTTGGTGTTGTAGACTCTGTCAGTTTCGTTGCAGGAACAAGACACAAGAAGAAAAACTAACTATTGAATCTAGGTGAAGAACCTTAAGCAGGGGAAATTGCACTATATACACTTCGCTGCTTTCTGAGTTCACACACACACACACACACACAAACACACACACACATTTGCATAACTATCTTTGTGAGAACATTGATCAGCACGATGCCTTCCCTCGCCCCTTATCCTCAAATTAAACATCTCAGCCAAGTGCCTAACTGTTCACCCAAGCCTAACCTTTTCCTAATTCTACCCGTCAACCTAAAACCAATCCTTTACCCTCAAATTGGTCCAAATAAAGCCAAAATCGGTCCTTACAAAGATAGCATCCCATCACACACACACACACACACACACACACACACACACACACGTGCATTCACCCTATGGCTCAACAGTGTGACAGAATGCCGCGACACACAGTCAATCTGCATAATCACAACAAAGCAGCCATTTCATGTGTGTGTGCAGAGAGAGAAACACATCCGTCAAAGCGCTCTCACATACACACACTCTTCCTAAAAGGAGGGGGTCTGTGCGGTAACTTCAGAGGGGTTTTTTTTCCACCGATGAGGAGGTGGAGGGGGAGTCAGATTTCTTTAAAGAAGACTTGAAAACACTGAGCAAGGGAGACAGAGAGAAAGAGAAAGCGATAGAGAGACAGAGAGATGAGGATAAAGAAAGCATTCCTCCAGCGTTCTTGGAGAAAGTCTTCATTCTGCCTTAGTCTTTTAACATCCTCCTTTCACTCTTTTAAATGGTAAAATGTTGTGTGCTGTTCAGTGTTTACCTGTCTTACAGGCTAGCTTCACACATACACTCATGCTTCTGTCATTTAAGAGGACAGCATCATGAATTACCTCAAGTTCCTGCAACTATACTGGCTATAACTACGACTTGCCTAACCCTAAATCTAACATAAACCCCACCTTACTCTAATCAATTCTTCACACTAAAACTAAATGATTTACATTATGGGAACCTTATCTTTATCCATAAAAAGCAGACAGGTCCCCATACTGTGAATGTACAAAATGATTTAGGTCTCTGTCACAACAATACAAAGGCACAGCATCGTCTGAGGGAGAGGTGCAATCCAAATGTTCAAACAGAAAAAGAGAGTAAATGAGGGGTGTATTCTTGTAAATAATTCAATGGCTGGATTCATTCTTGTGTTTCTGTAATATCAAGCTCCTCAGGCTTGTTATGAATTATGCTATATGTTGAAACACTGACAAACCATTACTGACTTTCACGTTAGCAATTATTGGCTTAAACAGTTAATTAATACTTAAATTACCTGTGTTGTACAGTATGCTGGAGCCACATCTGAATGTAAGACTGTTATTGACTCTTTACTAAACAGCCTTTTACATCTTAGGTTTTTCCTGCATAGAGGAATTTTTGGTGTTGGCCACATAGTTTTTAAGAGCCCTTCAAATAGATTTTAGACAAAACTAAAGAAAAATATGAATGTTATGTTATGGTGGAGTAGATGCTCTGCTGAATTATATGCAGAGTTGGATGCAAATTTAAATCAGCCATTTTTTCCTCAGTTAGGAAAACCAAATAAATTCTGGCCAAACAAACTGACTGACCGGCTGCCTGCTCATGTGTTAATAAGCACAGCGTTATTATTACTGATAGAAACTAAAAAAATAAGACCAAAGTTTCAATAAACCTTAAATTATCATTTAACTCAAATATAATTTCATGTGCAAACTTGGCAAGTGGGACATGGCACAGTTGGCACCCAGCTTTAGCCCCAACACAAGTGTGAAATAACAAACGCTAAACAAAATCAGACTACACACTTGCACAAGAGATGCAGAGAGACGTGCAATGGAAATGTCTTTACCCCCAGCAGCAATTTCTTTTCAACAGGATAAAAACAAGGCTGAAACGTGAAAAAGCCCTTTGAGGTGGGTCTTTTCACCCTGACAGAGCCAGAAGAAGAGGGAGGGAGGGAGAGGCAGAACAGCTACCGCTTTTCAATTGGTAAGCATTCAGCCAGAAAGCTCAGGCATTCACCGTTTTGTATTAGTCTTTCCTCTGCCCCTCTTTACGGCTACGAAAATATGTTAACTTTAAAAAATATGGTAATTAACCAGGTGCCGTGACATTCACCAAATCATAGTGATTACATACAAAATCAGATAAAATCGAGGAAAAATGCTGCAAAAAAAAAAAATAGAAAGAAAACAAAAAACAATCAAAGACTAGTAACACACAGGAAGTGGAAAAAATCTGACATTAGGAAGAAAAAAGCAGAAGAGGAACATGTGAAATGCCGCAATGTTCAGAAGAATACAGACGTTTAGACGTGATATTGAGAGGGTGAAGGAGAACGGAAAACACTTTCTTAAAAAGACCTACAGACGTCTTGGTGAAAGGGGGATGGGCAGTCAAGTAACCACCCCCCAGCCCTGCCTCACTTCGTTGTCCTCTGTTCTCAGACTGGTGTGTGGCGCAAGGCTGGTCTGTGTTTTCATGTTGTCATGTTCTCGTCGCACAACTTCTGTGAGAAGGAGTGTGTTTTTTTCCAGAGCTAGTTTTTAACTGACCAAGTGGTGTGAAGCACTTGACAAGAGGTTCATATTGCAGACCGTTGGCTCATAAAGAATCCAAAGGCAACTTTGAATTGTTGGGTTCACTGTTAAAAATTTGTATGGTCTTCACCTTACTATGTAAAGCACTGTGAGATGACATTTGTTGTGAATATATATATATATATATATTGTGCTATATAAATAAAATGGAATTGAATATTGGTCTAAAGCCTCCATCTGGTAGATACATGACTTCTATTAACATTGAAACAAGTGAGTCTACAACCACAGTAACGGGTATTTAAGTAATTTGAGGATTCTTTATTTTATGGCAGCAACCTGATCTTTAAGAAACTTTTGCCCTCGTCTAGCTAAGGCTGTGGCTTCAGTGTTGCCTCTAAATAGTGATGGGAGAACACTTTTGATGGAACATTTGCACATAAGTGAGAACTGTGATCACATGAATTAGGGTATCAACGACGGATGTCTGATATCTGAGGCCAAGATTCTTAAATCATCAGGGGATCTATACCTATTCCCATCATTATGATTGTCTAGTTCCAAGTCTTCACCTCAGTGTGGCTATTGTTGCAGTTTTACTAAGATGTGCCAGCAGTTGAAGCACCTCATTACTACATTTTTCCAGTGAAAGTGTAAAGGAAAAACAAAGCAAGCATTTTGTTTAAAACCAAGATTGCAACTAAAATGATCAGTCAATTAATCAGTTAGTCAGTTCGCATTTACCAGATTATTCCATAACAAAATAGTTGCTAACTGCTGTACTAAACATGATCTTCCATACAAGTTTCGTTCAAACAGGAGATGTACCATTGTTAATCAGTACGTCATCTAAGGTCAGCTGAGTAATTTGTGCACCTCATTCGATGTCAGAGAGAAATTCAACTTTAGAATAACTGAACCAGAAATCTGTGACATGCAAAAATATCACAAAAGAGACGTGAAGATCTTCTGTGCTTGTGCTCTTAAAACGGAAGATTGTTGTCAGTTCAGACCCACACCAAACAATATGAAACACATGAAGCATAAATATGAAAAGACACTGAAGAAACAGAAAGATATAAATAATGTCTACTGTAAAACGTATTTGTCATTTTGAATAACATCATCAGTCTGGATGGTGCCAGAATGGACATTTGAGCCCATACATAATGTTTATATGCAATGTACTGAAAGCACTAAATTAGTCCAGTACTGTATTGTGTCAAATAGGCACTGAGGGCTTTTGCTGCTTTGTCCCATCAGATTGGCAGTAGTGATAACAAAGGTGAATATTCTGCAGTTTGATAACCAGCAAAGTAAAGTAGGAACAATGTGTCAGTGGACAAATCAGATCCCACCAAACGGACTATGTCTGGTATGACTTGTCTATTATCAGACCGGACAAAAATAAGACAAGCCAGACGACATTGGACCAGTAAACACCAGACCAGATGACAACAATCTAACAACAGTGTGCCAGTCTCTCCTGTCCAGCTTCACATTCCCTTGAATCAATGCAAACACACATCCATGCCGTAGTTTCTCCACATTCTATCTCTTCTTATTCTGATTTCACAGTTTCTGCCATATCTTTCAGCTAAGAAGAAGCTTAAAAGAACCATACAAAGATGGTGTACATACCTCAATCTTGTCTGTTTTAGCATCACCCCAGTATAGTTTTCCTGCTGCATAATCAATGGCCAGTCCATTGGGCCAGCCCAGAGAGCTGTTGAGCAGGACCAGCCTGTCCGTTCCATCCAGGTTGGCCCGCTCAATTTTGGGATGCTCACCCCAGTCAGTCCAGTACATAAAACTGAGAGAGATTGAGGCAACAAGAGAAGAGAAAGTTTAGTTTCATTTGCAGATAAATAGATAGAGTAGGAGTCTTTCCTTTTGGGTTTCTAAATAAAACAGACCAGCTCATTCAGCAGAGTTTAATGGTGTCAATATTCTGCGATTCATTAACGTCTCATGTTGTTGATGCTTGGTAAAGCCAGGTATTTTCCCTCTGTGGCGTCACCGCAAATAGTCATAGTCTCAAAAACTGATCAAATGCTGGATTTGATATTTACACACACAACACCTACCCATTAACGGGGTCGAGAACGATGGCTCTGGGTTCATCCAAGTTCTCAGAAATCAAAATCTTGCGAGAAGTTCCATTTAGTCTGGTAACCTGCAATAGCACAACAGTCCAATATTAAAATGCAGCACAACATAACACTGTTATATTCAGCCAACCCGTTTGTATTTTTTCTTTGGTTGTCTTTTATTCTGAGTTAGAATCATCCTAAGTCTGTTCCTGTAATTATACAGGGGTAAACCACTGAGGCCTGATTGAGACTACATTCACATTCATCGGGCAATATGAAATTACATCATGGGTAGGGATGCTCACACAGCACTTCATAAATTATAAATATGCACTACAAGTGACTAAACTATGTGGTTTTAATTTAAATATGACTAATCAATTTAATTAAAAAAGGAGCATGTACAATGTTTAACATGAATATTGCCATTTGATGTATTGCACCAGAGTTAGCTTTAAGCTAACTTCCACCCGCAGTTTCTTGGCTGGTCACACTGAAAACATCACAATACTAAAATGTCACAAAAAAGCTGGACTGTAACATACATGACACAGTGAAACACAACATTACACACACACTCTTAAAAGCACATCCGGACACACACACGGTATATCAAAAGTGAACAGCACTGAGACACACAATGGTTTTGTATAGACAGCTTCAAAAAATGAAGGTGTAAACTGAAGTTTTAGACATACCTCAATCCGGTCAGTGCCAGTGTCAGTCCAGTAGAGGTTTCTGGCCACCCAGTCCACAGCAATTCCATCTGGGTGGTTAATCTCTGTGGTAACCAGCATCATGGCATTGCTACCATCAATGTTGGATCGTCGGATGGCCCGAACCTCATCATCTGTCCAGTAGACATAACCTTCAACTGGATCATAGTCTATAGCTATGGCATGGCGAATGTCATCGACCTGCATGAGTAAAAAAAAAAAACAATGATGAATATTTGACACCCTGACAAGACAGGACTAATACGTCTGTGTATGGGTGTGTGTTTACCTGCAGTACTATGTCAGTGAAGTCTGGTAGGTCCAGCGAGATTCTCCTTAGGTCTGTCCTTCGAGCCAGCAACAAAACCTGCTCTGCTCCTAAATAAGACAGGAGAGTTGTAGTAATTGTTCATTAATGTTAGTTTTTACCAGCACCTATTGTATTTACAAAGTTCTCACTAAAGGGTTTGCGGCAGAGGTGATTTAGGTCTCAGGCTTTTCAGACTTTGGTGCATATGAACATCAACACTGGTTTGATTCAAACAATTTCGACTTTAAAATAACTCCTTTTACTGACATGACGTTATTTTGCCACAGTATATATAAATGTCTGCCTCTATGCTAAAGACTTTTACTATTATGTTGTCCTAAAACTTGGCAAAACGGACAAGCCCTGCATGATGTACCATTTATCAATTACTTCATCAGGTAGAAAGGTCACTGTCCATGCACTGCACCTTGCAAATTATAAATACAGTACACAGTATAAGCAATACCTCTTTGAGCTCAAGTCAATGACAACCATAAATTATAAGCCTCAGAAAACGTGGTCTATTTTGTACAATTATTAGGCAGCTTTTACAGGGATAACTTCATAAGCCGAACCCTGTAAACCAACAGCTTGATAAATTAAGTCTGGGATCAAATAATCCTATTGTGTTTACATTGTGGTTGAAGAAAAGGTTGGGTTTTGGTTTTGTCAGTTTGTAAGTTGAGGATAAAATATCTTGACATGTATAATGTTGTGTTCAAAAATAGGCAGAGTCAGTAAAATATTTACAGAAACCCCTGGGGGTATAATCATTATAAACATTTGTAAAGGTCTTTCCCATTAATTTTAATTAAAAAAATAAAAATAAAAATCCACCTGTGACACACTGTTAGAAACACTGGCAGTAAAACCAAAAAATATCAATTATATTCAGTTCACCCAGGTGTTATCAATGCTAGAAAAAAAGGTGACTCTACATACTAAACATGTTTTACTACTTACAATTTCAGCTTTTTTCCATATTTGTCACTTCTCTATTCTGTGTAAACACAGTGCAGTTCAGCTGAAAAGTCTCAGATGATTCACTAAAGGCTTCACAGTGGTGCAGAGCAGCTACGATTTCCTTTTTCTCTTTACAGAATCTGGTGCAAAGTGTTTATTTTTGGCAAACTCATAAATCACAGATTCTTGCTCTGAAAACTGGCAATGTTTTTTAGAAAACATGCCTTTCGAACCCACAGGCAAGTTTTGAGTTTTCAGAGTTTTCAGCCATTATTAATACACAAAATTACAAAATAATTAAAACACAATTTTAATTTTTTTTTTTAGTTTTAGTATTCACTTCGGCAATCCCTGAAACAACATCTCAGACCTCTGTCCAGAAGAGTGCAGTTAAGATCCTGTGCAAAACCCTTAAGATCCCAGGTCTCTGGCAGAAGACCTGGGCTCAGATGGGCAAAGGGCAAATTTTGTTACATATAACAAAATATGTATAAAATATATGTAGTGCACAGACACACAAACACACACACACACACACGCACACACTAGAATTGTGTGTTTTTGAGTAGAATACAATCATAAATTTCCCTAATATTTGTGATTCTCGTTTTCTATATATTATTAGAAAGAGTCATTCAAAACATCACACTAATAAATGTATCGTTGCAAGTTAGACCACACCTGCCTCATAAAATAGATGTGCGAAAAGTTCATTTGGTTTACATGCATATTTCCATGACGACTTCTTTCAACATGCTATATTCCATGTGAGTGATATACGGTAGGGAGGTGTAATCGTATCTCTCCTGCATGTCTAAGACTCGTCTGCTGTTCAACCAGAATGGTCCCAATAATATTTTTTTCTCTCATTGGGAAAATTGTACATTTTTCCAAAGCTTGTGTCAATAACATACACTGTAGATGTCAAGGCATCATCAAGCAGATCCAAGTCTGAGTAGTTGGCATCTGGATTAGAGCCAAACCCCAAAGTCCCATATCAATCTGTCGGTGATGAAAAAGATTTAAAGCCTCAGCCAAGCTCTACGATTATCACTTTTCTTGCCTCCTTCTTACTCTATCCAGTCTGGAAACAAAGGGCTCTGCTGTCCTGAGGGATCCCCCACTGTGTTTGGCTGTTGGTTGATTTGAGAGGAACCAAACTCACCCCATGGGAGACAATTAACAGTTTTTTCTTTGTATCTCATACCTCTGACTCTGAAGAGCTCACACTGAATGCAGTTCAAAGTGCCCCTTCCTATTCTCCTATCTACCTTATCCTGCTATCTCATCTTTGTTTTACATTTTAAAACAACTCACACTAATCTCCAGAAAAAGCAGTGACAATCCAGAAGAAACAACACTGACATTTCATAAAATCTACATTTTGTAAAATCTTCAAAGACAATAAATCACCTGTAACTAAACTATAGTGTTTCCCCTATCCTACCTTGTAGAAGAAGAGGGACAGGGAACCAAAGGGAAAAAAAGGAAATACTACTAATCATCTATATTTTAAAATTGTTATTTATCTACTTCACATGTGCTCATTTCATTTCAGCTCAGTGTGAGAACCTATACTGCATTTTGCTGTCAATTATGGTTGCACTAGTCTCTGCTCTTTGTTTCGCAATGCAGGGAGTGGAACAGAGGAGAGGCAGGTGAAAAAACTATTTCACCTTCAGTACACCCAGAGGGAACACTAAATTGTCTGCTCTCCAACAGTATTGCATTCAGTTCAGAATTTCATAATGTCAATTATTTAAAACACTGACAAACGGCTCAACTACAAAAATACATAGTTTTACAAATTGGGCCAATTTTTATCTAGTATTTGTTCAAGCAACACTTTCACAACCAAACAAAGTCTGGCATCTCAGTCTTGGTATCAATCAGATTTGAGACTGAGAGTTGTCCCAAAGTTACTAAATGGCTGCAGCAAGGTTGGATAAATCAAGGAAAAGAATGAAAAGAAAGAAGGGAAAGCATCTGTGATTCCACTCTTCTCTTCGCTTGACTTCATTTTGAGACACTCAAAGACCCCTGACAAACAGTTTCACACACACACACACACACACACACACACACACACACACACGGTCTACTGCCAGCACAATAACAAACGCCTTCAATTTAACCAGCCAAGCAAAACAAATTAGAAGCATGGACAAAAAGACAGACACACACACACGTACACACACACACACACACACACACCGAGAGAGAGAGTCACACAACAGCAGACTGACACAATAGAGCATTGTTGTTTTTATTGTCAACAGTGGCTAAGTGATTGGTTGGCATGCTTCATTCAAATTTAATACAATCACATAACACAGGCTAACAGACACAGACAAACTCTAACACAGTGTTGTGTTTTTGCAGAATAAGGCTCTATTGTTTTAGCATCGTGGGAATCAACATGGCGGCTGGTCCGTTAGTGTTCCACTGTGCTACCAGAGAGATCCCTTTTGCTTGTTTTACTGCTGATATACCCTAAGATATATCAATTCATCCTGTGGCAAAATAAACAATGTAAAAAAAACTCTATATACAACTAGGGCTGGGCTGAAATAGAACGGATCAGTTACCATGTTGTAAACCAACTGGGTTGACGAGTTTGACAAAAAATCCTCAATGATAGTCAACTTGCTAACTTTCTTCAGCTATTATATAAAATAATCCATCATATATTTTATATTAGTGGGCCCAGGTTGCTGTTACACTGTACTGAAACAGAAGAATTTGCAGGGATCCACTAGGGTGCATGTGACACAAATTTCTTTATCAGAGGTGTATGCAAGACTTTGCACAGACGTGCATGCACCGACACTTTTTTTTTGACAGCAACAAATTGCGCACTAACTGAAAAATCAGAATGGATCATCTGGATTTTATTCAAAGCGTGAATGCACAGAATACATCTTATGTGCATGTAAGGAACATGTCCAGACCCTAAGCAGACTAGAAAGTAGTAAAATAAGAGCAACTGCACTTCCGTAGTGTTCACAGCTGTATGTGAGCACATCCACCAGATACAACCAGGCCTTCAGTTGGCTCTGTGTAACAGTTCTTGGTAACTATGTCATTTTACTCAGCAGCATCAGTAAAACTCTCACAAGAGAGGTAGCAACTATCCAAGACGCACTCCTGACTGTGGTAGCCGCGGATGCCCAAAGTATGCAAAACAATAAAATCCAAGTAATATGATGTAGTTCATGAAGCACTGACTAACAACACTGGTTCTGAAAAAAACAGTTAGCTTTGCACAGGATTACCAGTGGCTGTTTAGTTTGTGGTCATGCTAGTGTAAATAGGATCCTTACCTGGCTTGCATGTCTTTCCATCTGGTTTGAGCTGGACTCCAGTGGGGCAGGCACAGCTGTAGAAAGGATGGACTGGAGAGAGTAGGCAGAGATGACTACAGCCTCCATTATTGTTACTACAGGGAGTCTGGACTGCCATGACACCAACAAAAAGTGCAGACAAAAAGAGAAAAAGGAAGAATTTTGCTGTTAGAAATGGCATGGCTATTCAAAGCAACTGTGCTGTAAACAATGTGGCAGAACCATAAACAACATCTGAAATGCTCTACTTTATGTTGTGTTCTGTAAAGCTAAATTATCTAGCAGTCAATACAGATGGCTGACACTACTCATTGCAGTTGGATTAGCTCAAGATAATAGGTTGCCAATGTACTGAGGTGTTAGTGATGCATTTCTACTGTACTGTACATAGACATAGGTAAAAGATTTTCCTTACTATAAGGCTGTCGGTAGGGCTCCAGAACCTGGATGTCCATAGGAGAATAAATCCCACTGAGAATCTCTCTGGTTTTGTCTCCGCTGTGTTTGTTACAGGCGTGGATGGAGCGGGTTTGCCAATCGGTCCAGTATAATGTCTCCTCAGACAGTGTTAGTGCAAAAGGATGGGTCAGCGTGCCCTCCACCACCGTTTCACTGCAGGATGAAATGAAAGCATGTTCAGAATGAGTGGTGTTGTAGTCTGTCAAGAGAACTTCAAAGTATTTCTACAAAATGGGTTAAATTAAAAACTAGTGTAAGACAAGATTAATGCTAAGTCGTTTTACATGTTAATGTGTCATGGAAAAGTAATATCAATTCTTCAGCAGACTGAGTCCTTTACTATATAAATACACAAAACCCGTTCCAGTGGTTATATATAACACTGTGGCATTCATCCTTTTAAAATGAACTGTACTTGACTTATTACTTTGATGGATATTGTTTTACCAGACTTGGCCCTATACTCTTCAAACATGCAAATGCACATTGGTGTGGAAACGAAAATGTGCACCTGATGGAGGCAATATAGGAAAAGTCTGAAAACCATGGGAAACAACACATTTACATACAGTCCAGGGAATGCATACACATTTTTATCCTTACGGTGAAGCAAACATGTAAAAGAGCGTTTCCTTTCCAAAACACACTTTAGAATCTCTTACATAAAAAATGCACTCCAATACACTTAAGCACAGGATCAAAGGAGGCTTGTATTTAGAATATCAACACACCACACAGGCTTTCATCACTTGTCATTCTGTGTGTGTGTGTGTGTGTGTGTGTGTGTGTGTGTGTGTGTGTGTGTGTGTGTGTGTGTGTGTGTGTGTGTGTGTGTGTCCATCCTGAAAAATCTGATGGATCAGAAGTGCCTGCCAGCATACTGCTTAAGGGGAAAAAAATGAAAGAAAGAAATGTAACCTTTTTTGTGTATGTGCATGCAAATCAATTAGCAAACAGGCTAATTATTTTACTGCTCAGGCTGTCATGTTTAATGAAATAATCATTCCCCCTTTACACTGAGCTATTTTGACCAGTACAAGACTCAAGATGACAGTGGTGAGAGAAACACCTCAAAATCTGTGTTCATCCAAACAGTGATGCTAAATCTCCGTTTTACCAAGAGCTAATTGGAGACTTCATTGACAAAGACAGACACCTGCAACATTCAGACAGTGTCAGAAATTTGGGATCAAGTTTTCAGATTGTGACTGCTAAACGTGGACACACACAACACAACAGAATGAGGATAAAAGAACCTAAGTCAGAATATGACAAGGAAGAAAAGCTAGTTAAAAATTAATTTCCAGTTGATCAAGGGAAATAAATATTTGATCTCCCAGCAAAACTTAGTACTTGTTGGATTAACCCTTGTTCACAATCACAGACATCAGACGTTTCTTGTCACCAGGTTTGCACACATATCAGGAGGTATTTTAGATCACTCCTCTTTGCAGATTATCTCCATATCCTTAATGTTACAAGGCTATTGCTCAGCTTCAGCTCCCTCCATAGATTTTGTATAGGATTCAGGTCTGGAGGCTGGCTAGGCTACTCCATGATCTCAATGTGTTTCTTCTTGAGCCACTCCTTTGCTGCCTTGGCTGTATGCTTTGGGTCATTATCTTGCTGGAAGACCCACCCACCGTGCTCTGGCTGAGGGAGGAGGTTCTTAGCCATGATTTCTTAGTTCATGGCCCCATTCATTGTTCCCTTGATGCTGTGCTTTCGTCCTGTGCCCTAGGCAGAGAAACAGCCTCACAACATAATGTTTCCACCTCCGTGCTTGACAGTGAGGATGGTGTTCTTGGGGTTATAGTCAGCTTTCTTCTCCATCCAAACACAGCCAGTTGAATCGATGCCAAAGAGGTAAATTTTGGTCTCAACTGATCAAATCACAGTCTCCCAAGTCTCCTCAGTATCATTCAAATGCTCATTGGAAAACTTCAGACGAGCCTTTACATGTGATTTTTTTGAGCAGGGGGACCTTGTGAGTGCTTCAGGATTTCAATCCATTAAGATGCAGTGTGTTACTGATGGTTTTACTGATGGTGTTACTGATGGTTTTCTTGGTGACTGTACTCCCAGCTGTTTTAAGATCATTAACAAGTTCCTCCAGTGTAGTTTTAGGGCTATCCTTCTCTTAATGATAAGAGATACTGCATGGGTGAGATTTCACGTGGAGCTCCAGGCGGAGGGTAATTGTTGTTTTTTTCTTTCTTCTATTTGTGAATATTTGCACCAACAGTTGTCACCTTCTCACCAAGTTGCTTGCTGATGGTCTTGTAGCCCTTTCCTGCCTTGTGAAGCTCTACAATCTTGTATCTGATGCCTTTGGATAGCTCTCCGGTTTTGCCCATGGTGGTGAATGTGAAGTGTGATTCTTTGGACAAGTTTCTTTCACATTTGTACATGTAGCCAGTTCAGATTATTAGTTTCTGAAGCAGAATGGACTAATATTTGTGCCTCTTGGCCTCATTACCAATCTGTGGGAGCCAGAAATCTTGCTAATAGGAAGGAGATTGAACACTTATTTCCCTCACTGTAGCAGATAAAATACTGAAGCTGATTTTGTCTCTGCTCTTATATATTTTTAATAATATATGTCAAACTGATATTATACAGTCTGACACAGATTTGGACCAAGACATTACTAAACCCATCATACACAGTGAAATATTCAATATACTTACAAAATGTTTGCTGTTTTACAGTCTAAGAGCACCTCGTGAAACAGGGTCCTCCACACATCATTCAGCAAAATGCAGTTGAAAAAGGTGTTTCACATCCTTGCTGTGCAAACAGACTAACGTTTTAATACTAACGTGTCTTCATCAAAGTTCAAATAGAGCCAATGCTCATTTAGACATGAAACTGACACATTCAGTTAGATTATTGGGAAGGAGTGAATGACTAACAGGAGCTTTAAATTATCTATGTCTCTCTCCGGTCAAAGTTACATATTTAGCAGATTTTCAGGAAAATAATCCTTTCCTACTGTAAAACAATGGCGTAGCTGTGACTCTACAGTGTACAGTGTAGTGTCTATGAAGTTCCCCTACATCAATCCGCACCCATCCCTCCGCTACTTGCTACAGCTAAAGCACACTAACTTACCCAAAACACCATAAGACCAGTGTTTTACTTTACAGAGCAGTAGTAGTATTTGAAGGTCCACTAGAGTCAATTTGACGTGAACTTTGCCATCTCCCTAAGTTTGCAAGAGAAGGCAGATAGATTCCACCGACAGAGGAAAGGAATTGCTGAGCTATGAGAGAGATGCACTGAGAGTGTGTGCAGAGCTGTGTGTTTTGACTGGGGCCCCCACACCACAGCTTTATTTGTGTTGGATTACTCTCTCTAGTTTTCTTCCACTCTGTCTGTAAAGTTATTTTTCTCTGCCCCCTCCCCCATCGTCTTCTTTTGGGAGAGAGTTGAAAAACTAAAATGTTACCAGCTGATCTTTAATCACCCCCAACACACACACACACACACACACACACAGAAAGTTCCATACCGTGCTGATCCATCCAGGTTAGCTCTGTGAATGAAGCTGAGTTTGGCATCAGCCCAGTACAACTTCTGTTCCACCAGGTCTATGGTGAGACCGTTGGGCCAGTATATGTCCACATTCACGATCACTTTTCTGTTACAGGACAGAAGTGCACAAAATGATAACATCAGAGGAAAGGAATTTTCTGAAACACTGTTAAAAATTACACTTTCATTATGCTTGAACACTGTACCTGTAAAATTTGCATGCACTATGGACACTGTTCCTTGAAAATACTATTCTACATTCATGAAGTTTCAGGTTTTATAGTTACACTACCTGTTGCTGCCATCCATGCCAGCACGCTCTATCCTGGGCTCTTCTCCCCAGTCTGTCCAGTACATGTAGCTGGAGGGAAAAGAAGATGAAATAGGTCAGTAATACAAACGCAGAGCCATTTTCTAGTATGTGTTTACTGGTTACTGCTGATCACTACTGATGAGTCAGAGATTACTTGAACAGCTTTTCACTCTTGTGCTTTTTGGAACTAAAAGAGAAGATGTAGAAGTATCACTTACATTTTTCCACTAATAACAGAACACCAAGCCTTTGCCTGACTTCCTTTTATTATTTCAACTGTATCTACTCATCTGAAGTTTTCGTTTTGCTCCTTACGTTTTCTCTCTTCAGTTCTGTATCTAGTTTACTAGTGCATCTCAAAAAATATTAGAGCACAAGTTTAGTGTTTTTCATCAGTTATTTAAGAAAGAGAAAATTTGAGATATTTTGGATGCATTACAAATCAAGTAAAATATATTTTAAGCCTTTTTGCTTTAATTTAGATGATTACGGCTTATAGCTTATGAAAATCAGAAATGTAGTATCTTAAAATATTATAATATTTCATTTCATGTTTAAGCAAATTACTATTTATAAATCAAAAATTACTGATTATCTCTTGGAAGAGTTCAGTAGAAAAAAACACAATCATGGCGAAGATTGCTCAACCATCACCAACACCCTCTACAAGGAGCCACAGTTGGTTACTGCTGAAGAGGCTGGCTGTTGACAGAGTGTGGTATCGAAGCATAATAACGGAAAGATAACCATAAGGAACAAGTGTGACAGGAAGAGGTGCAAAAGCAACAGAGACGACTGAAGCCTTCAAGAGCCACCGAGCAAAGACGTCTTCAGGAAAACAGCTACAACTGTCCCATTCCTAACATCGAGCAATGTGACAACATCAGAAGCTTCTTGCCTGGGGGGAGGGGAAAAGAACTGGACTGTTGCTCACTGGTCCAAAGTCCTCTTTTCAGATGAAAGTACATTTTGCATTTCATTTGGACATTAAGGTTCTACAGTCTAAAGAAATAGTGGAGAGACAAAGAATCTAAGGTGTCCAGTGTGAAGTTTCCTCAGTCGGTGATGATTTGGAGTGTCATGTCATCTACTGGTGTTGGTCTACCAGGTGTTATCAAGTCCAAAGTCAATGCAGCATCATCTACCAGGACAGTTCAGAGCACTTCCTGCTTCCATCAGCTGACAAGTTTTATGGAGATGCTGATTTCCTTTCCCAGCAGGACTTAGCACCTGCCCACAGAGCCAAAACTATTTCCAAATGGATTTCTGACCATGACATTACTGTTTGACTGGCCGGCAGACTCACCTAATCTGGATCCCATAGAACCCCATATGGTTCATTGTCAAGAGGAAGATGAGAAACACCAAAAATACAGACGTGTTGAAGGCTGCTATCAAACCAACCTGAGCTCCAATAACCCCTCATGATAAAGAATTCTGATTGAATTATGAAACAGAATTTACTGTTTCACTATGTTTTAATTTTTTGAGTTGCACTAGAAGATGCCACATACTATGTCATGTTTACCTGTAGTACTAATAATATAACAACAAAAATTAGCATAAAGTTTTTCTTACATTTATTAAATGCTGTCCCTACTTGTTTTTTCTACAGTATCTAAACTCAAATAAATGTGAAAGAAACTATGCTGAGACGGCAAAGAAGCTGTAGTACCCAAAGGGTAGATTAACATCAGCAGCAAAAAGAAAGAGGAGAAAGGACAGGATGACTGACAGGCACTGATGTCTGCGTTCTTTATAAGCTTCAGTGGGAATTTTATTTTCAGGAATACTATTTATTTTATTGACATTTCTCATTTGTGCACATTTGTGGTGCACTCGCTACCTAAGCCACCAGGGGGGCACCACAACAGCCTCATAAACATTATGCAATGGCACAATTGTAATCAAATGAAATTTTCATTAACTTGCACACTTACAAAATATAGTCATGTATGCAACCATTTTGATCACAACCCTGCCACAATCTCATCGCAAAAACATTTCCATCAGTAGATCTGGATAACCTTCTGAAACTATTCCCCGTAAGCCTGACCTTATCATTTCCTGTCATCACTGTCTAAAAAGATCAGATCACTCTACATTCTAATAATTCTTTTGTTATTAAATTAATTTATTAAACCCTAGATTTTGAGAATTGCTTTGGATTTTACATTTGATACCTAAATATAAGGGGTTTGCTTCCAAAACTGTGTTTTGTGAAGAGTGAAACAGCTCCATCCATCTTTGTTCTAACAGGAACCTGGCACAGCATCAAAACTCCTGATGGAAGACATTTACATTGCTGGTTCTAACTCATTTGAATGTGAGTGCAATAATAAAGGAGGAGTCCTGATTTATTTTAAGAACTCTTTTACTACACCCACTAAGTGCCTTATCACTGAATAAAAAGCTTAATTATGTTGCTTGGAATATCATTGTTGGGGGGAATGCTCATCTATTGTTGGACATATTTATTTTAAATGCTAGTAAAGCAGACAGACTACCGGATATCTGTCTTGACTTCAAGTGATATCAAAAGAAACCAACTTTAAAATCCAGCTACTGTAATTCTAACATTCCCTACAATGACTCCTTGCACCTGACACCAGTAACCACTGGCCAGTAGTTTGTGTCAGAGAAATATGAAACACGCAAATCCACTCAAGAAAGTTATTAACCAACCAATGGCCAAAACTTAGAACTCATTTGAAAGTCTTAGTCTTAGTCTCAGACCCGAACTGCAAAACACAAAAGCTTGTTCTGTAGTTGCTGCATATCGCCCACCTGCCCCTTACACTGAGTTTTTATCTGATTTAGCTGATTTATTGGTCAGTACAGATGAAGTCATTATAGTGGGTGACTTTATTATCCATCCTGAGAATGACAGGCTCAACTCTGCATTAGTTCATTGTTAGACTGAATTGGTTTCTCCCAAAATGTAAATGAACCAACTCAATGTTCAATCACACCCTTGATCTTGTTCTGGCATACGGCAGAGAAATCTGCTTTTCCCCCTAACCCTCTTTTATCTTTTTATCTGACCATCTTCTAATAACCTTTAAATTGACAATGATGGACTACAGTGCATTTGCCAAGAAGTTCAATTACAACAGAAGTTTATCTGATAATGCTATAACTAAATTTAAGGAAATGATTCCCTCTCTTCCATTGCATATCACTAACTTTTTATCTCCTTTCTCCTGTAGTTTGTGTTTTGTCCCCTCTGCAGGTGTCTCTGGATCTGGAGCTACACGTCTCTGATCTGCAGATTCTGGTCTCACCGATTGCCAAGGTGTTCACTGATCTCTAATGTATTGTTTGTCTGTTCTCTTCCGCTATCCTGCATGATTGAATTCAATTGAATTAAACTAAGATTAAACTGAATTGAATTGATCTTAATTGTAAAAGTTACATTACAGCATGAAAATGAGTAACATTTTTGAGGAGCAAATCCTCTACACCGCTTCCGCCAGTAATTAATGTCAAAGATGGGCAAATTGTTAAATAAATAAATGACATTGTATCATATATATCATTCAATATCATTCATAAATGATATTGAATTTCCCTTCTGGGATAAATAAAGTATTTTTCTTTTCATTTCACATGGTTGAAGCATTTAACAATAATTTCATTACATCATGCTACATGATTGATAATGTAGATACACATATTGTCAAATTTAATACCCCTGAATCAACAAATGAAATGTCTTCTCTCAGTCATATATTGTGAGGTATATAAGAATACAAACAAATGCATAATGACAAGGAGAGTCACAATAGTCAGAAGTTAAAATAAGAAATGTAAAATTGCAATACAATCATGTAACAAAGGTCTGTGCTAGTATACACTTAAATAAATAGTCAATTCTATTCAACCTACTTAGATTATTAATAGACAGAAACATTCTAAGTATTGAAGTTTCTGTGTTTTCCTTTGTTTTCTGCCCCTTTGTCAGTTGTGTCCTCCTTCTGCCACCTGCTGGATACCTGTCTGTTTTGTCACTGTTTGCTGCCCACCTGTTTCTGCCAATGTATGCTCCACGTGCTCCTCATATTAACCAAGTTTGTGTCATGCTTGGAATTTTGGTTCTCTCAGAAGTTTTTTGGTTTTTGCATTTGGTTTAGTTACCTTTTTGAGATTCATATCAACTTTTAGTTTGGCCTTTTCCTGAACACTGACCTTCTTTCTGTTTGCGTCCCTGCCTTTGTAACCCTGCCAAGTTGGTTTTGATTAAAGTTTAATTTTGTACTTCAACCTGCCAGTCTGTTGTGTCAGCATTTGGATCCTTTCTCCACTAATACCTGACACATCTAGCTTGATCCATAACCACTTCCACATACACTTGCTACCTGTATTCAGCTGTTTAAAAATTAATGCATAGCTGATAGTTAGCAAAACAGCAGGACAATTAAGTTTATCAACATTAGAAAACTATGCTGTTAAGCTACATGTCCACACTTCTTGTATTATAAAATGTAAAATGATTCAACAAGCAATGTTGTACTGTTCATGTCTGGATGCTGATGTGAATTCAGAATCATTCTGAAACACATTCCACTCTGCTGAAACTTTTCCTATATGAGGGAGCTTTACAGCTGATGTACCTGATTTTCTATTTACTGCCCATCCCCATTCCCTCCCCATCCCCCCAAAAAACTCAAACTTCATAATCTATCCGTACTTTGAAGAGCATGTGAGTGTGCATGTGTGTATACAGTGTGTTTTGTTACCGTTGGGCAGGGTTAAGGGCAATAGCTCTCGGCTGGTCCAGGTCCATCCAAAATAGGACCTTCCTGGAGGTGCCATCCAGGTTGGCCACTTCAATTCGATTGGTCTCTGAGTCTGTCCAGTAGAGCTTTTTACCTAACCAGTCACAGGCCAGTCCATCAGGACTGTCCAGCCCTGATACTACCACAGTCTGACCTGTTCCTAGCGCCTCTTTAAGGGCTGAAAGCAGAAGACATACAACATGTAAGTAAAATGGTACCAGGAAAAAGGATGCATTTTTTAATGAATCATTGAAATGTTCAGTGTACAGAGCCACAGCAAGAGTTGCTCTTTATGAGGAAATCTTCACTAAGCAGGCAAATAAGCATTCAGGAAACAGTATGCAGTCTTACAGTTGGATGACTGATTCCAGTGCGTCTGTTTGATGGCCTCCTCACTGACATCTGTCCAAAATATCAGGCCCTCAGCATACAGGAAGTCCACTGCTGCTGCATCCTCCAGGTCACTAACAACAATGGCTGATTCACCCCGCACACCGTCTGCATCTACCAATCGCACATCACGGCGGTTGGCAAAAAGGAGGAAAGGTGACCCTGTAATGGAAAAGACACTTGATGTAATAGCTGAAACATCACACTGAAATCGTTTTAACCAAATTACACCAAGTACAAGTCTTAACTGTGACAAAAGCTCGATGACAGATGATAGTGTAGTATTTCATCTGTAGGACTATATTCTGTGGACTGTGGGTTTTGCAGTATTTGAGAAGTAAAGGTTTGAACTGAAATACCTTCAGTTCCCTCATAAACAAATAATAAACTAGCTCAACTTCATACATAGGAGGTTCTTCTTAACCCCAAATCATTCATTTTGACAATTCATCTTGAAGGCTGTAAGAATATTTAGGTAAGTTTCATCTTTTAGAGGGAAAATGGTGTTCAGCCCATCTGTAGAAGAAAGAGACAAAGTCTGGAAAACTCTGGAAAAATCTGGAATCTCCAAGAGGTTCAGCAAAGGATATTTAATCATAATTTATACAATTGAATAGACAGTAAAATCTGAATTACCAACATGTAAATCATTGTAAACTTTAGTCAACTTCACAACCTTATTTTATTTTTCAGAATAAAATACACACACAGATTGTGTTGCTGGTTGTTTAAAGGTCTAGTGCAGGGCTACTCAACTTCTCATTGCTCATGGGCCACAGAGAAAAACATCTCTGTTTGCGTGGGCCGCAACCTAAAAATGAGTCATTTAATATGACTGAATTATAGAAGACATTTAAATAAGGTAATATTCATAACAAAATATTTTAAATGCAGTACAATAAAAGGGCAATTTCATTAGGCTTTTATAAAAGTAAAATAAGATTTTGTTGACAATATATTATACTTTTACAATATATTATATAGATCTATCTGTGACTGTTTTCTGCATTTCCCTCATTGACAGTAAAAAGCAAAAGGCCAAATGTCATTAGATAAAAAGATAATCATAGATATCAAACTACAAAATGAGGCTTTATTCACAAAATATAAACAAAGTGACTGCCACTGCAGTAAATCACAGAATGGTAAATACACTTAGTATGCACATTGGCACATTTCTTTTTTCTAACAAATCAAAGTGATGTTTCAAAGTTTTTAAAAGATTTTTTCAAGCAATGTCTTTTGAGAAATTAAATTACATCAGAAAACTAAGTCGGCTTTATTCCACATAAAGGTAAATAAATGAAGAGATTTCTCATAAATATGAATTGGCCTACTACTCCAACAAATGAAGTAAAAATTTGCAGTCGAGAAAACGCTTTTTTTATCCGCTCTCCCTCCGTGAAACTCCTTGTTACATTCCACGCTACTTTGAATGATGCCTCTGTGATCCTGTCGCTTTCTTTACAGCTGAATCTCGGAACAGTTTGTTGACCACAAAGATTTCCGACGAGACAAGTCTTGTGAAATCAGACTTGTTTCAAACTTTGAACGTTCACATTAACGATGGCATTTAACGGCTCATGTGGCTCTTCTTCTGTACAAAACGAAATGATCGCGTTCTGCCTACTTCAGTGAACAGGTTGTTATAAAGTAGAGCTACAAGGAATATAAAATATTATAATTTAAAAAGCACTGTGACTACAAATGATGCTAGACTGGTAGAAAGCTGCTCAACGTTTGTTAATATGTTTATTTTACCAATCTATTACTACTTATTTCTAGCTGACAGCTGCACATTAAACCTGCTAAACTTTAAACTCATCATGCCCTCCCCCTCCAGTTCTGCTTAGTGGCAGCCTTCCCTTTTCCCTCCTTTTCCTTATATCCTGTCTGCTGTGTCTTTCTTGTCTGCACTTGAGCCTCTGACCTGCACCGTGACAACACTTCATATATTTAAACATGATCTTGTATTGAAGTGCATTTAGGTCTGACACTGTCCCATAATGCAGGATATCACTTCATTTTTGGTCAAATCAAAGCGAACTTAATGTTATTGATTGAATATTCACTGTGATAAATACCAGTAGAATAAGTAAACAGATCAAGATCAAAAAATATATTCATGTGATTACTGCATCACCAGCTAAATACATGTAAGTTCCCATGACAAGAGGATGCATACAGTATGCGATAGTGTAACTGCACGGCTTCATTCAGTGATATTAGTAACATACAGCTCAAAAGGTTTGCCGATGGAACATATTCCTTCAGCTGAGAATCTGTATTGCTCATAAGGAAATGTTAGGAAACAATTTGGTTAAAGGGAGACACTTCCTCCATCTGATTTAAATCTGAAACTCTGAACACAACCTGCTCTGGACCAGGTTAACTCCACCGCATCAGTTACCATGGAGATCTAGCCGGTAAAAAGAGAGCCACCTTCATGACACTGAAAACTCTGACTTTAAGCTCAACATACTTCACTAACCCACTAATCTCACTTTGTAGTAGCAGCCCTCAGGTCACCACAACACCGAACAAGCATTGGTAAAATTAAAAAAAAAAACATTTTTAAGAGACACGACTGCTACTCATTGGTCCAACCATGCGTTAACTACGTGTCTGTCAAGGTCTAGATTTCATAACCCTGTATCTGTGTGAGTGCAGCTCCGTAACTCTGAGACGTTGTCCTCTCACTGTTGAAGGCAGTAGCTGTCACAGCAGCTGCCACAGCGCCTCGGGGGAAGCTTGTGGTTTTGGACTGGCAGGATGGCATAGCTGTTACGCTGTGGTTTGGCACAAGCATGCCTCCTGTAATCCCACAGGATTAAGACACACTGCCTCTGTTAGTATGGACGCTTTCCTAAAACAATACCCAGTCCTTAAGACAGAAACTGCATTGCAATTGTCTTAATTCATTCAATAATAATTATAAAACTTATAAAATAATTAGTGACTGTCTTGAGTGTGAATTTGTACTTGTGTTTACAGTTGACACAAACACGTGTGTGTGTGTCCACAACTAAGTTTGTTGCTCTTCATTCAGTATAAGGACCTTAGTGACCAAGACCTGGTGATATTGTCTGTGCACTGTTATAGTTACATCTTCTATTATTTTGGTGATTTAATGATGAAGACGTAGCAGGTATTTCACAAAGAAAGGCAACTCTATGGGTGCAAGTTTGACGTGAAAGAGCAAGAAGCAGATAAACAAATAAAATGTTACAAAAGCAAAACACAGGTCCAGACTGACAGTGAGCTATTGATATCCCTCTGCTATGACAAGCACGTCAAAGTTGATGTAATCTGGAATCTGTCCTATTCAAGGACCTTTTGCCGACACTCTACAATTAGTATAAACACATTTTAGAGGTGGCAGTAAACACAGACAGATTTCCTGAACTGACAAAGTTGGTGTGATTTGTCAACATCTGTTCCAGCTGAAAAGATGTTCCCAGCTGCTCTGACTAACTTAAACAACAGTCAAAAAGCCTCTCCATCTTATAGCTATGTAATTCATAATCCTGGAACCTAGTCCTGATGTAACAAAGTCAGTTTTGCGGCAAACATTAAGTGTCAGAGGTTGAAATGGTTTCATCAACATATTGAAAAAGGTCCAGCATATTTAATTCATTTCAACAATGAATCTGTAAATGAATTTGAACTTCCTGCCATAGTCTAAAGACAGGATATTTAGTGATTCTAAATTGGCTGTAGGTGTGAGCACAAGAATATTCAGTTCTGTCCCTCCGTGTTAGTGCTGCAATAGGATTAGTGAGCTGTCCATGGTGTACCCCGCCTCTCGCCCAATGTCAGCTGTGATAGCCTCCAGGTCCCTGCCCTCTACAGAAAAAAGTGGGTACAGCTAATGAACGGATGGATGGATGAGTAATGTTGATTAAAACGTGCATCTTATCCATGCCTAATCCTACAATCAATGTTGAAGGTATCGGTCCCCAGAACCAAGTGTGCTGTGAAGTTTTCATGCACTGACACCCACAGATGACATTTTAAGGAACATGACAGAATTATTAATAAATAAGTACAGGTACAAGAATTTTTAACAAACTCATCTATTTACAGAATAAAAGTGTAAATTAAAATAGCTTACAGCTCATGCTACCTTCTGTAAAGACACAGTGTTAGTGCTGCTAACCTTCCTACCAGCTTGGGTTTTGCTGACGGCTGCAAAGACAGGTTCAGATGCTGCATGACAACACTACACTCACACATGGGATACGTAACACTGTCAACAACATTAAGTTGTTCACCCGAACAGGCCAACACCAGGCCCTTGTACGCTCGTAATGTAAAAACACATTAGCAATTTTACAATAATGTCAAAACAGCAGCAGCATAAAGGTTATTAAGCGCAGCGCGCGCACACACACACACACACACACACACACCGTAGTCGACATTTAAGATTTCCAGCTATCACAATTTACAACTACCTAGCAACCTTAGCTTGCTAGCAAAACAGTGAGTAGGACAGAAACTTTCAGTTTGTAACATTTGGGCATAATGTCAAGAAAGCAACATAAAAGTCAAAAAACCTGGAGGTGATGACGATGAGGAAAAGACTGCTAACATTTGGGGCTCTATCCAGTGAACACCTTTGGCCAGTTTTGGGGTAGCAAACACACAGGCAGCAAGCAACCCTGTAGAAGCCCATAATGTAATAACAGCCAATTACGTAACAACAGCCGATAACGTAATAAATTTGCACTTTTTAAAAATGTAATAGGCCAATAATGTTATAACTGGCCAATAACGTAATGAGTTATTACGTTTTTGGCCAGAAGTTACCACATTATCGGTTCAGGACTTTTACGACGTTATTGGCCTATTTCATTCTAAAAACATTGGCTATTGGTTTCTACAAACCCCAACTCCACAGCCACCAACCTGTTAAAATTATCCCGACTGAGAAGCAGGATCTGTAAATTTCCTTGTTAAATCCAGGAATCTGTGTGTGCCTGGGTGTCTATTCTTCCCGTTCCTCGACAACCATTCATCAGATATAATGTCAAACTCGGCAGGTGTATTGTAAGTTCAGTAAAGTCGTGTGGATGAGTGGTTCTCAAGATATATAAAAATGTAAAGATGAAAGTTTGCTTTTGGCTTTTGAAACCAGGCTGCTGTGTCTTCATCAGGTC